GGTTTTATCCCATGCTGTTCCCGTCACAGTCCAGCTGGCTTTGGTGAGCTCCCAATAGATCAGCCCCACTGTCTCAGTGGGTGGGTGCACCCCACGTGGTCCTGACATCCTTGCTCGTGTTCTCCCTCCATCTGCTCCTCATTGGGACCTTGGGAGCTCAGTCCAGTGCTCCAGTGTGGGTCTCTGTCTCTATCTCAATCCATCACCAGATGTTGTTTTTTGAGAAAGAACTTAAAGTTGGGTGAGTTTGGAGAGGGAGAGGATCTGGAAGGACTTACTTGGGAAAGAAGAAACTGTGATCAAAATATATTTAAATTTAAAAGTTGTTTTAAATAATAAAAATATAATAAAAAATTATCATAATAAAAATGTTTTAGATATCTACTATTCTCTATGTAGATAGAGTTTTTAAGATGTGGAAGAAATAAACACATAATCAATTGTGGGAAAAAGAGTGAAGAGGTACATGAAAACCCAGAGCTGTCTCTCACTTCAACATGCATGTTCCTATCCATCCACCCACTGATGAACACACACACACCACAAAGAGAAGCTTGCTGCCTTATAAATCTAATTCATGATGTAGTACTATAAAAGGCAATGGATTCTTTATAAAAATGTTATATAATAAAAATTCTTGAAGGGGATAAAAATGATTGCTTTTATTTTCTGTATTTATGTATTGCCTGACAATACATAAAACTTTTAGGTCTTATTGCTGTGTATGACTATATTCAAATGGCCATAAGTAAAAAATAAGCATTAAGATGGATATATTTATCCAACCAATGTTTATCAAATTCTTATTATACAGAAATGTTAAAGTTTTAAAAGGCCAGCTTCTACTGGGAAAAACAGGCACGCAGACTTTATGAAATGAGCATTTGGTCCACAGAAAAGTATGTAAGGTTTTCTGGAATCAGCCAGGTTAGACCAGTAGGGGAAGAATAAGTAGAGCCTTGAAAGATGAGTCAGAGGAGGGGAGGTGGTCACAGAAGCATAGAGAGTTACTGGTAAGACAGGGACACTTGGCATAAGAGAGGATGAGACTTTGAACATAAAAGGGCATGAATAATTTGAAAGAAAAGAGGGGACCGGGGATAACTTGGCTGAAAAGTGCTGCTGCATAAGCATGAAGACTTGGCCATGTATGGGGTGTGTGCCTCTCATCTCAGTGAGGAGGGCAGAGCTGTGTGGATTCCAGGGGCTCTATGACCAGCCAACATAGCCTAATTGGTAAGCCCAGGTCCAAGTAAGAAATCATTTCTCAAAAATGAGGTGGACAGCTCCTATAGAATAACACTAGAGGTTGACTTCTAGCCTCCACACCTACACAGCTGCACACATACATGCAGACCTGCATAGTCACACCCTGTGCACCTATGTGGGAGCAAACACATGCACACACAAACATACAAAGACATGCATTCACATCTACCCATACACAAAAAAATGCATGTTCTTTGTAGAAAAGGTATATTATAATATATGTTTCTACTTCCTCCCATCTTATCTCATTCAGAAGTAGATGATAGATTTCCCCAGGAGAAAGAACTATCAGCATGTTGTGTTATACGCTTCTTCCCTAGGTTTCAACAGAGGCAGATACTCTGATCATTAATTGGGAGCTAAACAGTATCTTCTATTGTGACATGCATCCAGCTAATTCCTATTGCATGTATGTGAGTAGTTTAGTAGATTGCCCTCCTATGGACTTGCAGAATGACCATGTTATATTGGACTGATGGGAAGCAATGCTATACACAGAAGCCATCAAAATAAGGAAGCAAATATGTCTGAGCATGATGCACTCTTAAAAACAAATTATAAGCTGGGAAAGATTGTTGGTAGAAAAGTAGAGGCAATAGACATGGTACTGGGCTGCCACCTCAAAGTTCAAGACTGTATAGATTTCCACATAAAGTTGGTACAAATCCAGTTCTTTTATTCTTGATTTCTTTTAAAACCTAAACATGTACCTAAAGGAATGGCAGCTGTAATGAAGTCCCTTACATTCTTAATGGCTAGAAGTTCTGAGCAAGCATTGTGCTACAGAAGCAGTGTCTGGACTCCATGCATACATCATTCTAAGAGGACTCTTGGGACTGCATGGTTGCTATGTTTCTTTAGCCAAACAAACTGCATAGAGATTAACCTGTAGCTACCTTCAGTCATGCTGTGTCTGCTTCATGATTTGGATGGCCCAGCATTTGGTTCCAAAGATTATCATAATTTAGAATGAGTTTCCAGATACTACAAAACCATTCAGACCATTTGTGCATCCATCCCAGTATTCTATGGGTGTCCACTGGAGTGACACAAGACAGGTGATGTGAGTTATGTCAACCCCTTAAAATTGTGACTTTATGCCAGTGTGCTCAACTATCAGAAATGCCCTGTCCCACTTGATTATAAATGCTGGATTACCCAGATCTTTGCCTCTCTTGATATAAATATTGATTTCAATTAGATAATCCCAGCTTCCTTCTTTAGGTGTAAAGAGTTGTTTAAATATTTTTAACACTTACCATCACCTCGTTTAGGACCTGAAGTCACAGGTGAGGTATGTCTCATTTCCAGGATGTAGGGGTGGCCAGCAAGAGGTGGGGGCCATTAACTTCATGTTCAGTGTCTACCCTTTGACTTGAAATCATTAGAACTTGTGAATAACCTGTACTTTTTCATTTTTTAGGGCAGCATAACTATTTGTGTGCTGGAAGAAATGACTGCATTGTTGATAAAATCCGCAGAAAGAACTGCCCAGCTTGTCGCCTGAGAAAATGCTGTCAGGCTGGCATGGTCCTTGGAGGTAATGTTGATGTTGTCAATAGTATAGTAGTTTATATTTCTATTATAACATTGAGTCAGAAGAATCCCAACTTTTCATTCATCTTTATTCTTGTTTTTTTTTTCTCTTTTATTGATGATGATCATTCATAGTCCAGTTTGATACAATCCTGCTAACTCTGTAGACTTCCAGCATGCTAAATTCTGTTTGGAAAGGAACCCCCATCCATCTATGTTGTATATTGGTAGACTTTATGGTAGTGTCTGGACCTTTCTTTAGGTAGTATGGGTTGGAGTCTAGGCTCTACAAGTGATTTTAAATAGTTCACCAACATTTTGGGGGTATTAGTCTTCTAAACCGTAGAATAGAAGATCAGAGATCTCTTTAAATTTAGAACTTGATTCTGAAAGTTTGTAAGATGCAGATTAAGAAATAACAAACTAAATCAGGTTGCCACCATTGACTAAGAATCCATTTCAAGGACATACAGTAGTCACTCCCTGTCTGTGCTTTTGTTATTAGACTGCTTTTAATAATATAGCAGTAAACGCAGTAGAGTAGGACCTGTTAGATGGCAAGTAGCTAAGCCGAATGACTCAAGTTCAAATGCCCATGTGGTGGGAGGGGAAAACCAACTTCCCAAAGTTATAATCTGTTCTCCATATGGACAGCATGACATATGTGTGCCTGTGTCCACATACACACACACACACACACACACACACACACAGAGAGAGAGAGAGCAAACCACGTTAAAGTCATGAACTAGAGAGACAGTAAAACACTTGTGTTGTAAATTTAAGTACTTGAGTTTAATCTCCAGAATCCACCTTTTTTAAAGACCAAGATGTCACTGAGGCTCGGTGGCTAGCCAGACCAGCCTACTTGGCAAGTTCCACAACTGTTAGCAGACAGTTTCTTTCAAGAAAAGACAGAGGAATGACACCCATGGTTGTCCTCTGGCCTCCACAACCACACACACATGAATGCATGAACACTCTTTCACACAACTTGCTCTCACACACGTACACACAAACATGTTAGTGCCAGTCTTTAGAATAATAATGAGAGTATCCTTTGAAACTTTCATGTGCTTTGATCATATCCATCCCTCCACTACACTTCCTAGACTTATCCTCACCTCCTACCCACACAACTTCTACCCCTTTCTCTCTCTAAGAATAAAATCCTGTGGGATCCAGTTTGTGTTGGCTGACTTCTCCTGAGCACAGGGCCTACCATGGAATGTAGCTGATAGACCCAGTATCATTCCACAAGGAGGGGGATAGTCATGCCTTTCACAAGAATGTCTACGAATCAGTTTTGTATATAGCTAAAACCTGTCAAGAGCACAATGAAGCATGCATTACACCTTGAGATTAAAAAGTTTTCTTCTTGCTGTAGCTGCCTAAAGCAAGCCTGCATGTGTTCCTTCAATGCTCCACATTTCCTCCTTTGGGATGTGTTATTTTTAGACCAATATTCTTCAAATTTAAAACCTCACCCAAGTGTTATTTCCTCCCTAAAAATTTTGCCAGTGTTCTTGGGCAAAATTAACACCCATTCAACATACTGGCTACTTTGCTGAGCTGCAATAATTCACTGAGTTGCTGCATTCCTAGTATTTTATGGTTTCGTGATTAGAGATTATTTTCTCCAGGTCAACGCCCAAGTCTCAAGTGTATCCATACAATGCCTGGCTGGGGAAGTACTTAGAGGCCATGACTACATCAGTACACCCACCTTCGGTACTTCTCAAGCCCTGAGCCTCACGTTCTTCCTCTTCCCTTTCCAACTTTTTCCTCACATGTCTTTGAGACCTCCCACACTTTCTCACAAGTTACTCATCTTGCTACAAAAAGGGCTTAGAGATGCTGTGACCCCCTTCCTGGCTCCAGCACTGCTTTTTCTATGGCATGGTTGTCTTAAAGAACAGTAGGATCTCTAATGTAATGATCTTCTTTCATCAGGATTATAACATTTTTATCAATCAATTCTTTGAGAAGTTCATAATGGATTTTGTTCCTATTTAACTACTACTTCTCCCCCATTTCCTAGATCTACCCCTCACCTTACCCAATGTTGTGTTCTCTCTCTCTCTCTCTCTCTCTCTCTCTCTCTCTCTCTCTCTCTCTCTCTCTCCTTTAAAATAATTCACCGAGACCAGTTTGTACTGCCCACATACTAATGGGTATAGGGCCATCCACTAGACCCATCTATCAGGAACTTTAACCTGGAATTCTCTCTTAAATGTCTTTGAAATATTCTTGCCTTTGGCCACAGATTAGAAATGGTGTTCTGAGCAGAATCTTCAGAGTATGTGTGATGCTGTGGGGTCTAACCTAGAGAGTCTCATGTTATCTCAATGTTCCAGCCTCTGCCCTGCCATCCAAGCTTGTAAAATCTTTTCGTGTCCTCTCTATACAAGCATCTTGTTAGTTTTCCATTATTCAAGCCATACCCTAACAGCTCCATAATAACCACTCTATTTTCACAATTTTATGTTATCACTATTGTAGCTTAGATCCTTCCATCTTCTGGCATCTTTCTTCCTTCACTCCCCTTTCTCCCTCTTTTTTGATAGCAGTAGAAAATAAGATTTCTCACTGTGTACAATGCTTGTCTTGCAAGTAGGAGAACTTTTGAGTTTGATATCCAGAACTCATCTTTTTAGAGAGACTGGGCAGTGTGCTTTGGCGGTGAAGATGAACGTGGCACTGGGGTGTGATGCCAGGCAAGCCCCCTTGGCACTCTCTGGGGCTCGAACAGGCACTGTCTCACAAACTTCAGTCCTCTTGGGACTTGTACTCTGCAGTGGGGTAAGTGACACATACCAGAGGACAAAGATTCTGTGAACAACATTGAGCAGTTGGATAGATGCATGCATATCAGGAAGACAGCTTGTCCTTGAGCCTCACTCCAGTCCACATCTTTATCTGACTTAGCTCTTTCTGAAACAATGAGTTTGATGGTGATAGCTTTCCTAAAGCAGAGTGAATACATTCCTAACAGCTTAAACATACATTCAAGGTACTGCCCCAAACAGCTTCTGTAGCAGAAGTGGTTTTCACTCCTCCTGAGAATGAATGGATCAGACCAATATGGTTTGTGGAGTGTGTTACACACCCTGCTTAGAGTTGTCCTTGCTGATCCTACTTTCAGAACTGTCTAATCTCTACCAAGAAAATGGAATGGAAAAAGTGCAGGTCTGAGTCTGGAGAGCATGGGCAGAGTCCACCAGGGGAAGATGTAGAGAAGCCAGGAGTATACCACAGCCTTCGTGTGATCTGGTTTCAAGAGATCTTAAAGTGGAGAGCGAAGGGAAGTAAAATCCTCCTGGGCCTTCTGTGAACCACTTGCTAAAGTGCCTGGCATCTTTCAGAGCTCCTCTAGTCAGTGAGGCCAGGTAAATGTGGTCTTCCTCTACAAATGGCTTTCCTTTACATACTATGCTTCATGTAGCTTTCTCTACTTCCATTTGCCCTACCTCTACAGGAAGGCAGCATGCTCAACCCCTGTGCCACACCGTGTTATGCTAAGAAGGATAAGGGGAGGGTGAAGTCTGAAAGATATGGCCCAAGTATTGAAGAAGAGCCCCAGAGTGTGAACACTTTATAAGAGAAAAGGGGGGATGGTGTGTATAAAGGAAATGGTGTATATCTGAAAAAGGACAATGCTACACATCTTGGCGAGGATATTTCTAGAACATAAGTCAGTGGAATGGGAAGAAGTGAAGCTTAGAAGCCATCTTTGAGCATCAAGAATCTTTCCATTCAAAAGACAGTATAGAAGTGATCTTTTCAAACAAATTATCCTTGGTCTGCCTATGAATAAACCCCCTTTTCACACTCAGTCAAGTCTTTCATCCCTGAAATCCTTTCTCTCTCCTCAGTTGTCTCCACCACTCCTGTGTTTTGGGTCACCTTCATCTATGTCTGCATGTGATTTGCTTCTGCCTGCCTTCTTTCTCTTCACTGCTCATGAACTCTGACTTATATTTTATCTTTAGTTCAGCATGGGGAAAGGAAGGATTCTGTGCCATGGTTGTATAAGAAAGTAGCTCCAGACCATAGATAGCAGCAAGGTCAACTTGGAGTTGCTTCAGATTTCTTTATATATCTCCTGTTTGTGGGTAAAACTTGTTCTACAGCTGCAGCCTCAAGGGTTAGAGAAACATATTGAGCTAGGAGCTTGCTGGCCAAGCTTCCTTGTCTGTTCTTCTTTTTGCCTGTCACTGACTCCACACTGTGTCCCAGACCTTCTGAAATATTAGAGAAGTTAATCACTTTGAAGAGTGTACCTCCATCAGTAAACTATTTTTATGTGTAATGGTCTTTTGAGAATGAAGGGAAACTATTGATATTTAAAATGTGACAATAAATATAAATGAGAACTTTTACAGGCTAGCTGGCATGCAGGTTGGTTCTCCATTTTCTTAATGTAAAGATGCAAAGTGGCCAAAACAAACATATAGCCTTTTGGGGGATGTTGATGAAAGAGTAAGACCTTTGTTGTGTAGTATCTAATGCAGAAACTCAATAAGTTTATGTAGAATAAAGACAGGGATTAATCCTTTAAGATGGTATTTAAAGTATGTTTGCCTTAGGAGTCTCCACTGCTTACTCTGTTTTTACCTCAGAAATAATTAAGTATATACTATCTTTCCTCTTTAAAAAAAAGATATTTTCAACAATATTCCAAACCACCACTGATTGAAATTGTTTCAACTTAGTTTATCTTCCAAAACAATATATTGTCTTCAGAATAATTCAGTCTCAGAATGAAGACTAACCTAATACAGCATTTTTGGTTTGTTGTTTGTTTTTGAGTTTGTGTTTTAATTATAATGTTTCTCTTTTCCATGACCTCCCTTAAAGTCTCCTCCATACATTTTTTCAAATTCATGGTATCCTTTTTTCAGTAATTGTTATTGCATCCATAAATGTATTTGTATATACATATATCTTTCCAACTATAATCTGTTGAGTCCAAATAGTGTTACTTGTCTGTATGTTTTAAGG